TACATAACATGTTTAAAGCCATTGATAAGATATTTTGGTTATTTTAATAAATTTCCTTTTGCACGGGGAGATTCATTTTCAGCCTTCTTTTTATTGATAAGAGAGTACCATATTTGAATTTTTCAATAGGTCTTGAATGAACTGTTTCAGGTTTGGGAAAAATTTTCATCAAGATAAGTGATTAAAAATTGATTGTGCCCAAAGCATCTTTTTCTTTTCTTTTTTTTTTAATCATTTTATTGGGGGCTCATACAATTCTTTTTTTTTTTAACATTTTATTAGGGGCTCATACAACTGTTATCGCAATCCATATACACATCAATTGTGTAAAGCGCATTTGTACATCATTCTCAAAACATTTTCTCTCCACTTAAACCACCGACATTAGGTCCTCATTTTTCCCAAATATAACAGCCTTGCCGAAGCTAATTTAAGTTATTGCTCTCACAGAAAGCGCTATCTTTAGGTATTTTCACTCATTTTTCATTTAACAGATAAACTTATTAACTAATGCAGGGCATTGTTAGGCCTGTTTTAGGTCCTTTAGCTTTGATGTTTGGCCCAACTAAACACCCTTCACGAGACACTACATCTAAACGAAGGGAAAATGAAGCAGGACTCTGTGTGACAACATCCATCTTTATACTTTCCTACTTCTCTTTATCGCCCTTTGCTTCCTTCCTCCTGTCTTTCCACTACGGTGCATAATGACTTTCTCACATAGGTTGCTCTTGACTAACGGCAGACAGAGCCAAAGGAAATAGAAGTGAGTATGATTCATTGGTATGCCAGTAACATCTTGGCTTCAACGATAGTGTCAAGATGTGCTAGTGTGTCCAGAATGATGCCCAGGAGAGAAAAGTAGGTTAGGAACATATTGAACTAACCTGTTTTCCATATATAAGTATGGCGTTACCTTTTTAGTAAGCCACGTGCTTAGGAATATGCATGTGGTCCGGATTTCTTCCCAAATACTCTATTTAGTACCATAGCAGGGAGTGAATCAGGCCCTTGAATACGCATGGTCAGCCATAGGCAAAACAGAAAGAAGCCAGTCTTGGTCCCTGAAGAATTCAAATTCTGTGAAGGAGAGCACAAACTCAGCCTCCACAGGGTTGAGATGACAATTTACCCAAAGCATTGGGTTATTGCTCTCTCGAGAGAGCATCAGCACCCAGCCACGGCACGGCACGCGTTGGGTAATCATGGACCATCCTCGCAGATTGACAGCTCAGACCGAAGCGCTTCACCGAGAACGGTGTTCCGAGTCCCTCTGGAGACACGGGAAATTTAACTTTCCATTACCAAATTTCCCCGCAGATGCTACATATTAGCCAAGGCCCCACTTTCCTGGAGGGAGAGGGGAGCTTTCACCGGGGGAGAGAACCTTTCATTGTCATCACTAGGGACATTGGGGTGAGGCCGATTGCAATAAATTCAGGCCCTAGTTCCTTTGGGAGGAAAGGAGTGACCAGGTGGAATAGAAATATAAATAGTTCCTTGCACTCCTGTAGGAGACAGTTCTAGAAATAGCTCCTTGCACATCAGTAAGAGACAGAGCTATAAATAGCTCTTTGCACTTCAGAGTGGCCGCTATGAGGCAGAATTAACTCAATGGCACTGGGTTTAGGTTTGGGTTTGTTTCTTGTTTTTGATAACGGATCCTTTAAGTTCCTGTACTTCAGAAGAGAGACCACCATGCTCAAAGTTTTCATTGTGAGAATCGAGAGTGGATTGGAGGCACAGAGCCTAGCTGTTTGAGCCACTGGCTTCTCTCTGGGAACCAGACAGAGCATTCCACTGCTGAAAAGATGCCCAGCTTGGGAAAGGAAAAGGGACGGCTCTGCTTGTCCTAAAGTGTCCTGGGATTGTCACGGACTCGGCACAATGGTGTGGCTGTGGGTTGAAAATAGGCCAGAGGGATTCCAAATGTAGTTGAAATACCATTTAACCACCAACTGCTGAAGGCCCCTCGTGTACACCAAATCACATGCCAGCTCAACCATTCCCACAGGTGTGATTCAGCGACCCGGATGATCTTCTTCACGCTGTGCCGCCATTCTCGCTGTCCTTTTCCAGAGACCCGTGGCCAGTCAGATCAAGTCAGCTCCTCCGGAGGGAGAGTCCCCTTTCCCCGGCTGTCCTCTCACCCCTGCTCACCACCAAGCCTCTTGTGTTCTAGATGGATTTCGTATGAGGGAGGTCTGTCCCTAGTTGCCCCTGTGGATGCCGTTGGTCCAGTTGTGTTCTCAGGCTCATCCTTGCTGAGGCATGCACCAGGGCTCCATTTCTCTTTGGGTTCCGTGGCATTCCATGGTGGGTATGTGCCCAGATTGTTCATCCAGGCGTCTGTGGTAGACATTTCCATCGTTCCCGCATTTGGGTTATTGTGCAAAGTGGTGCCACGAACACCGATGTACAGGAACACATTTAAAAAGAGAAAGAAGCTGAGGTTTCCGTGGGAGAGTACAGCACTGGATACAGGAAGTCTGGACTCTCGTGCCAACCATAACCGGTCATGCCCAAGTCACATGGGCTCAATTTTCTCATCTTTCACATAAGGCCAGGGTTTTTTTAGATTGTATCCAATCACCCTTCTCACCTGTATCTAGCACCCCAGCTTTTAACCAAATGTGTAAGGTTTGGTCTCCCCACCGGCCCCAGTACTCTTCATTAGTTTATTGTTTTTCCTCCATTTTTCACAAAAAGAGCAAAATGTTCTGGGATCTTTGAAAGGGGTCTGAGACAACACATACCGTTTGGTGAGATATTATTAGACTATTTCTTAGTCAAAGGCTAATCCCAGCTAGTGGGCAGCCACCTCTCCACGGCCTTCACAGTCCTGTTTCCCATATCACATTTCGGATTTCTCCGAGCATTTGGGAGGGTTCTTTGTTTTTGAAGGGCTCTGAATCACCTGGTAGTAGTTTCATGCCAGCCCCCATTTTCCTTCCAGCGCAAAGCGTCATCCAGAATACAGTCTGGAAGAAGATGCGCATACACACCGTGCAGTGATTTTTCTCTTAGGGGTGTGGGTGTAGGGTTTCCCCCCCTTTGCGAATATATTTTGACACCTTATAGTTGTAACCTGCTGTTCTCTTTAATTGCATATTGTTATTAAATATATAGTGGTAACATAGTTGGCTGTTTGAGCCAGTTGGCTATAAAGTAATCCATTTATCACTATTGCCATTGGAGCCACAGAAAATTGCCAGCCTTCTACCCAGAGATGAATGTTGCTGCGCTCACACCCAGTAAGATTTGGAACGCGGGTCAAATCCTTGAGCATGTTTCGTTTGTTTTGACTCATCCCTGGGTCCAGTCTGTGTTTGGGGTGCCTTCCGTTTCCCTGTCTTTTGTTTGATTCTCTCTGCTCCCCTTTTGTCTTCTTCGCTGAAGTTTATATTTTATTCTCACCAATTCCATTCAGTGGCATGTCTGAACAGGATCATTTTACCCTGATATTCATGAATGTACATTTTCTTAGACTGTCTTTGTAATGAGAATAATCCTGCCTCTTCATCGCACAGGTTTATCACAACACACTTTGTTTTAAATCAAGAATGTTGGGTGGGCATTACCTTATGCTCTTGCTTTCAGTGGAAGTGACCAGGATGGCCCAAGAGTAGCTAGCCAACCCTCCACTCCACACTGGAAATGCTCTGTTATGTCCATTGCCCCAAATTGAGAAAGTGCCAGTAATATCAAATGGGGACTGAATGGTTACATGCATCAGCAAACATAAGGATTATATACTTGCACACCCACCCAGATCCTTACCCTTATCTGTAGTTTCTTTCAATCTGGGCTTAATTTAGAATACGTGACCCCACAGCTGCGTGTGCCAGGGAGCAGCCAAGCCAGAGTGCTCCTCTGCCTTCTGGCAGCAAGACATTAAATTCACACTAGTTAAGCCCACTTAAATTGAGCCTCCTTGAACCTTCCTAAATAAAACTAGTGGCCTTAATTACAATCAGGCAATTTAAAGGTTATGGAGCTCTAACTAGTACTGCAGTCTATCACTTTAATAATGCACAGGAAAATTTCTCTAAGGGATGGCATCGTTTGATTAGAAGAATTCAAGGTTCAAAGCACATTTCCAGTAAACTGTTTTCAGAGGTCTTATTGCATTTCTTGTGCCATTACCTTATTTTTTTTTTAATTCTTCAAGGCTAAGTTTCTAAGGTCATACCAATACAACAATAAAAATGTAACTCATTTGCAAACACCTTGCAGTGTTGTGATCTTATTTTTTCATTGCTGTGGAGCAATTTCCTTATGTAGGCCACAGACAAAAAGGACCAGGATTTCCGAAATCTCATCATCCCTACTCCATTGCAGCTGTGTCCTGTGCTTCACTAGTGAGCCTTGATTCTAAACACCACGATTCAGGAGATGAACTGTCATCTCTGTAATGACGATCAATAGGGTAAGCTCCTTGGAAAGATAATTAGCTTTGGAAATGCCCAACTTGCGCCTTGCCTTCTACCTGTGGGCACTTAACCCCCATGGCCCAGAGCATTCATTTACAGAGGCTGCAGAACCTTACTCGCTTCACTTGTTTGTGTGTTTGTGTCATTGTTTGGTTGGTTGGGGTTGGGGTTGGTTTGGTTGTGGGAGTTTGATCATCAGCTATAGCAAGCCGGACTTTCTAGCAAGGAAAACCCCCTTTTCGGTGCATGGAGATTTTGCCTTCAGATAAAAGAGTGGCTTTATATGCGAAGGAGGAGCGGAGGAAAGGATAAAAAGAAATGAAAGGCCTTGACCCTAGTGTAAACTCAGTCCAAAGCCACGAGCACATGCCTGGTGGGAGCTGTGACCAGTACAGGGGCGTTGCTGGCACGCTGCTGTGCAGAATTATTATCGCCTGTTGCCCTGTCTCGGTTCTCAGTGGTGTCCTCCCCATAGACCTCACTTTGAAACAAGTTGCGTTTAGTTTATGCTGCATGAACCGATCCTCTTTCGATTTTACCAATTTGTGTTTTTTTTTTTTTGTACAGTACTCGATGGTAAATATACCTGTACTTCCACCAGTGCCAGAAGTCCCAGATGTGAGGGCATTAATAGTAGGTATTTGATATCAAACAAGAGAAATTTTAAGCAAAGCGTGTAATAAATGCATACATCTGATTTAAGCACTTAGTTCAAAGAATGGTGCTGTGTAATGTAAGCTTACATGACGATGATTAAGAACTGTTTAAAACATGAGCTTTGGGTCATGGGTGTATGAGAGGGAGACTTACTTCTCTGTGACTTGGGAAAGCATAAGGCAAATAAATGTCCCTTCTTCTCAATCGTACTTTCCCTGTTGTTCAGATTTCAAAGGCCTCATACCAATTTCCCTCTTGAAATAAGGGATTCGTTTTGCCTCATCAGTTTCATACTGATCAGTCGACATATAAGACAAGTACTTTGTTAGCGCTTTATTTGATAGAACATTCTAATCTTAGTTTAGCAAATAATGAAGCCAAGCATTGGAAGGTCAATTAGGCTAGTTCACTCTCTCAGATGCGTGAGGGCTTAATTGTCTCAGGAAGTGGAGTAAACTTTTCAAATGTAATTGATCACCCCTAAGTATTGTTTGGGTGTTAGTGCCAGTATGTTGCTCTAGTGAAATTAGATGTCGGACTATCACAGTAGATATTTCCCATCAATTCAGTACTTAGGAATCCACTCCCCACCCCCACCACCAGGAACCTCGAACTGTTCTAGGTCCTCAGGAGCCATGAAGGCGCAGAAGCAAACAAAGACCCTTGCCCTCGTGAGACTTCCATTCTAGCAAGAACTGAGGACTGACCTCGAACTTTGGTCTCCACGCCCTCATCATAGTCACATGTTTTCTGCCATTCGCGGCTAGGCAGGGCTGCAGCTGAGATGCATTTCTGAATTGGAAACATGCTATTTCCAGCTGTATTCTACATCTAATATATTGTGTAAAATGGACCAAAAAAGTTATACTTATCTTCATAGACATAGCAAGTTTCTGTTAAGGCAGAAAACAGCAGCATTAAAGATTGTGGTGAAAGCTTTTTTGCTTCTTGGGGCATCTTTAGAATGAATGTAAAGGTGGGGAAGATAGACTGTCAAAATCAACTGATCCCTTCTCTTGGAGTATGGTGGCTGACATTGCAATCAAAGGTGTATACAATAAGCAAAATTGTTTACACCATCTCTGGCTTCTAAGTAGACAAAGGAGTGAGTGTATTTCAAAGGTAACTGAGCTCACTCCTTACCCCTCTACTCCCATCCCCTCCCCTTTTCTGAGGTTGCATTATTTTTTAAAAGAATGTGGTACTTATTCTTGTGTGTGTGTGTGTGTGTGTGTGTGTGTGTGTGTGTGTGTTTTTCAGGATGAGAGGGGCTGGTGGGGGCTGTCTCGCAGTGTGATTTTTATCAGTGCCCTGACAAATAACTGGCTCTCTTTTTCTGGGTGTTTAGATCAAAATATTTGAGGTCAGCCATTACATCTTCAAAGCAATTTGCCAGCCCTGACTATGCCCTCAGATTTGGAATGAGGAAAGGAAGGGAAAAACTCCACTCTAGGTGTCAACATGTCAGGTCTGAAGGGCACCTTGAGGTTTATGTGCTCACACTTGGTCCCCACCTTTTCCCAGTTGCCTCCAATGAGCTCCCTCCGTTGGAGAGCAGCCACCTTTTTTCGTGGGTTTGTTTCTGTTACTGCGTATTGTTTGAACAATGTTCCAATATTTTTCCCTGAATGAGAATACACTAATAAGTCCTTTGCACAACTGATAGTGAGAGCCAAGGAATTGGACGGCCTTGCCTCTCAGAGCATCTGAAATCCCCCTGACTGGCTCTCCCATCCCTACCCACCTGGACCTCCTGCTAGTTTCCAAGCTGCTGATGTTTATGGGGCTCTAGGCAGCCCCTGGGCTCTTTAAAATCTGCTGGGTACAATGCAGCCTCCCCCAGTTGAATCATTTCCTGCTCCAGCCCTGCTGATAAATGAGTTCAAGACAGGAAATAACAGTGTCAGTATCAGTGGCTTTGTGCTCAGATTGTCCAAAAGCATAGTCGCCATTAGACCACTGGCCATAACGGAGTAAAATGCCGACTTGCAGTGTTAGGTCTCTGAAACAGATAAACATACGGGCTGGTACAGCCCCACCCCACCCCACCCCACTCCCATACACACACACACACACACACACACACACACC